TGTAATTCAAGTCTCAGAAAGATGGAAAAAAACCATTTTGTTCCAAAGGAAATTTGTTGAGGACTTTTGCTAATTATTTGAGAGACTCACAGTTGTCTTGGGAGCAACTATAGTACCCTTACACTGGCCTGCCCTAAACTTTGGTTTATAAACAGCTTGTGTGGATTTGCCACTTTCTGGAGTCCTCCTTGGGAGCAATGACCTGACTGCTTTATAACTGATGATGCTAAGGCACTAGAAGTGCGCTAGCTTGCTGGAGGTTGGGACCTGACCCATGGTGCAGACTGAGCAGGGCCTTTGCTTGATTTCACAGTGGTGATGACTCAAGGGCTTTCAATCAGTTGCTCACACAGCCAGGTGTCAGATACCCTGTGGTTTGTAAGAGCGAATGGATATATAAGATGTTCTCTGTCTCAGGAGAGAAAATAGCTGCTGTAAATGTTTTGAGATGCCATAAAATAGATGGCTTTACAGTGAAGCCTGGCTGAGAGGAGAGGTAGAGCAGGTACCTGAAGGTCAGTTTCCTGGGGGAGAGGATATTTCTGGAAACTTGGATGCTCCAGCTCTAAGGCACTCCGTGGAGCTGTGCTGTGGAATACAAATGTTCATTCCTGCCAAACACAATGCCATCTCAGTAGACAAATGTCCAGTAAGATTTCTGTGAACAAAGACAAAGAGCAGGTCAGGGAATGGAAATCTATTTGAAGCCAAAGGAAATGATTGAATTGAATGACCTCTAAGTCCTTGCCTAGCTTTAGGATTTGTGAAAAAAGAAAGCCAAGCCAGAAAGAATTGCTCTCAACATGGGAGGATGGCATCTCTTAGGACTATTTCCACAGCCATGCCGCTCTGCACACGGCAGCTCCTTTTAGGGGTCAGACTGAAGTCCTGATCTGTCAACACCAAACCTTGTCTACTTTTGCCCTCAACATGAAGAATTGTCTTGGTTAAAGGTCAGAGGTTAGCAAACTTCTGCTGTCAAGAGCCAGAGAGTAGATATTTTCAGCTTTCTGGGCTGCACAGCTTATATTATAACTACCCAACTTTGCCCTTGAAGTTGAAGCCGTCTTTAGCCAATATGTCAACAAATGGTAGTGTTGTGGTCCCATAAAATTTTATGTATACAGACACCTTGCAGCGCTGTAGTTTGCCGACCTCTGGTAAACAGGGCAGATGAAACAAGCATAAGAGCTGGCAAAGGGAATGCTGGTTTTTCCCCATTGTGGATTGTGTCCATTGCTCTCCCCACCTGTAGGCATCAATTCTTGCTGCTCTGTAGCCATTCATGCATACATAACCTGGTTGGTGAGATGAGTGGAGAGAAGCTGACTGGAACTGACCTGCCTTGAAGCCCCATATTCTGTGCTTTTGCTCTGCTAATCATGCCTGCATTCTGGGAGTACCCTTCTCCCCTTGGTGTGGCCACTGCTTTCATGACTTTGCAGTTAGAAATTGCTGCTGCTGCCACTTGGCCATCCTAGTGGAAAAAGCAAAATGTGGATTGTTATTTTGTCACTGCTGTATTTCCTCTCCCTACAGAGAATCCTAATTTAGAAATTCTTCCAAGCTAATGACCTTCATTGACTTACCATCAACTTGCTATGTCAGTTTTAAAAAAGCCTTTAGCCCCCAGGGGAAGGGCAGGGCACACATTACTTTGCAGTAGTGAAAGATAAGGTGTGACCTGTGACCACAGCCCTTGCCTTTGTAGGTGTTCTCACTGATGGACCTACTTGGGGTGCAGGGCAGTAGTTCTAGGGGCCTTTTATAGAGCTGGCAGCTGGGTTCATCACATCCCCTTTTCCTCTGCCCCCATGTTTGCTGCAGGAACAAAGGGATGAGGACTCGACTGGGATGCCTGTCGCACAAGTCAGACTCTTGTAGTGACTTCACAGCCATTCTTCCTGACAAACCCAATCGCGCTCTTAAGTGAGTACTATGTCCATGTTGCATTCCTAGGGTACTCACTCACACAGTGGGGTGCCTGTGGGACCTCTTTTTCTCTAGTGACTTGCTGACCAGATAAGCCACAGGGCAATACATTCCTGCCTCTGGACAGCTCCTTTCACATCCTTGGGTGTGAGAGGAAGGCACAGCACAGCGATGCCCAAATGGGAAGCTTCCTTCTCCAAAGAAAGCAGTATCACCCATCATGCCTGGAGCTGTGGGTGGAGAAGGATACTTCTTGGTTTTACTAACTTGTCAATCTGAGCTCTCTCAATTTGGAAATAAACATTCAAACTTACTCTAAAAATATGCTTAGATTCAGATCATCTGTATTCAGTACCTATTCTGTGCAGGCACTGTACTAAATGATGTTACCTGGTTTCACCTTCACATACTTCTGTAAAGGGCATCACTGCCTCCATTTCAGAGGTGAAGAAATGGAAGTAACAGTAAGAGATGGAGTTACAAACTGAGCCTAACTTTTTTATCTCTAAGACCAGCTTTTTCCCACTATTACCTTGATGTCTTGAAATCATGCAGTTATTTAGCTTTGGTATTTGGACTAAAAGTAATATATGGAATTCTCTGAAATGCCACCCAGGGGTGATTCTTTTTCTGAATTCTTGGACTCAAACATAGAACCTCCTTCATACTAGGTACGCACTTTACCACTGAGCTACATAGCCCTACCCCCTCCCTACCCAGAAGGTTTCCCCAACTGCTTCTTAAGAACATACAAGTCTGCAGCAATAGAATTACAGGAATCCAGGTACGGTCTGCAATTGCTCTTCATTGTTCCAATTTGTTCTCCTGGGTAATGCTGAATAGTGGTTTGGAGAAAGGAGATCATTTCAGAAATACTCAGAGAGATACTGTTCTTTTCTAGGAGACTCTCCACAGAAGAAGCGACGAGGTGGGCAGATTCCTTTGATGTGCTTCTCTCTCATAAATGTAAGTGGGATTCAGGTTGCATCCTGTTGAGGCAAATCATCTATGTGGTAAGAGGCGTAGCAATGCTTCCTAGGCTCAGGGTACTTTGCTAAGCAAGATCCCAGCCCTCAGTGAGTCTTGCCTGCACACAGGCTACTGTTAGGAGGAGAAGAGAGATGAGAAAACAATGGGAAAAAGTCCTTCTCTCCTGTTTTTTTTTTTTTTTTTTTTTTTTTTTTTTTTTTTTTTTTTTTTTTTTTTTTTTTTTTTTTTTTTTTTTTTAAATGTTTTTCCTTCAAAAAAGAATAATTCCTTTTCTCCTTTTTTTTTTTTTTTTTTTTTTTTTCAAAGTATGGTTCCAAGAAATCTTCAGGTTCTCAATAATTATATTTATATAGTTTTATTTCTTTTTGAGACAAGGTATCTTGTAGCTTAGGCTGGTCTCAAACTTGCTATGTAGCCAAGGATGGCCTTGAACTCACGATTCTCCTGCCTCTGCCTGCCACCCTCCAAGTGCTGGGATTATACATATGTGCCACTATGCCTGGCATCTCAGCAATTTTAACCAGAGAATTCAGCTTAGGTAATTGGAGTGATGGATTGACTGGAGTGAGAGGATCTAGGTTCCAGGCCAGATCTCATTTATAATATGGACAAACCCTCTTCCCCAAGTCATTGGAGACTCTTGAGCTAGTTAGTCAAATGAACATTGTGTGCATTTTAGCATTTCCTTGAGTTGACAGAATTTCGCTCTTTATCTTGAGGGATGACTGTCTCAGCTGCATTGTGCCCGCACTTGCTGGCTAGATCACCACTCTACTCCCCCCTCTTCCTTTCCCTCCCTCCTCAGCTGTTGTGCCTTTTGTTTCTTACAAAGGCAGGAAGAGTTGTGCATATTGCAGTGTGCAGAGGGCAATTTGTCATTAGTCAAACTTTTCAGCTCTTTCTTTTTTTCTCATCATGAGCAAGTCCAAATTTGTTGGGCCTTGAAATCCCCATGGCATTAAGTATGTGGAAGTGGCAGAGCAGGGGCGGGGAGGAGAGGGGGTGTTCTGAGGAGAGAGGAAGTTTGCAGACAGACATTCGGTGTTCCTCGTAAATTTGCGTCACATCAGTGTTAGATCTGGGAGCAGAAGGGCTGCTTACAGTTTGTGGTGGGGAATGTCTTTGGGGACAATTAAGTTGTAAGGACGTGGGTGGGACTCAGACCTGTGCTGTCCTGGCTTGGTTGCTAGATAACTGGGAGGTCTTGGTAGTCTCTTGGTATTCAGCAGATGCCATTAGAGGTAACTGTTTTTTAAGGACTGGGGAGGTAGCTCAGTGATAGAGTACTTGCCTAGCATGTGTGATGCCCTGGGTTCAGTGCCCAGCATTGCAAATAATAAATGAAACAAAACAAGAAGTGATTTTTTGATTTTCATTTGATCAAAGGTTATTTCTTCCGACTCCCTCTTTTGTTCTTAATAAACAAATTAGCAAGTACTTTGTGTGTGTGCATGTGATGAATGCATGCATGTATTGTGTGCCTGTACATGTATGTGCACATGCACGTGTATGCATGAGCGTGGAGAGTGATGTCAGGTGTCCTCTATCACTCTCCATCTTAGATTTTTTGAGATGGTCTCCTAGTGAACCTTGAGCTCACCAGTTAGACAAGGCCAATGAGCTCAGGGACCTTCCCAATGCTAAGGTATCACATCAGTCTTTTTATGTGGGTGCTGGGCATCCGAACTTGGGTCCTCATGCTTGCAGAGCAGGCATTTTACCAATTGGGCCATCTCTCGAGCTTAACAAATACTTTCAAATAGATTTTAAAATAAACTGCAATATCTAAGAATGAGTGGTACATATTATAAAAAATAATTTTGTGAAGCAAATAGTGGTTTTAGTATTCCATTGGTTATACTTAGGCAGGAAAATAAAGCACGTGGCTGTATATCTCACATATATCTATACCTCAAGAACAGGTATACATGGTGGATTTGCCAAGGTAATGGCCTATGCATTGTGATATTTAGAATTAGACTGTAATGCTTTTTTAAAAATAAGGTTATTGGGGCTGGAGAGATGGCTCAGTGGTTAAGAGCACTGACTGCTCTTGTAGAGGACCTGGGTTCAATTCCCAGCACCCACATGGCAGCTATGAACCATTCTTTACTCCAATTCCAGGGGAATCCGAAACCCTCTTCTAACCTCCGTGGCATTGCATGATAGAGGTGCACTCACATACATGTAGGCAATATACTTGTACACATAAAATAAAAAATTAAGGTTATTGATTATTTTTCTGGAGTTGTATTCTGTTAAATAAATGTCACTACCACTTTACACCTTCTTTTCTGACTGGATTTGATTCAAGGTCATTTTCAAGTTCGGTTCTATTTCAGCCTCACACTGATTCACTTAGTTCAAGTCCCTGAGGCTGTTTCCTCATTCTAAAATAGGGTTAGGAATGCCTGCTTGCTACCTATCACCTGCAGATGGAAAGCTTAATAAATAAGTGGACACATTTAGAGAATTCTAGGCTCTTACTCAAAGATGTGTTGTAATGATATGGTGGTGTTTATAAAAAAAGATGTTTTATTTATTCCATGCAAAATAAATATCTTGACAATAAGGCTGTGAATTTTGTAGCCAGTTATTACTATTAGGTCATTATAAACATTTATGGAAGTAAAATTAGTAGTTGGAAGCTTCGAGTCTGTTTGTATTGCTACAGTGGAAAGACCTGGCGATTTAAGAGGATTAATTTTATTTGCTTGATTCAGTGAGTTGTGGATCTGCAGATACTTACTTGGTCCTGGTTCTGTTAGGGAAGCTTTTGGTTTCCAGGAACGTGCTAACACTTTTCTAAGATGGGAATTCTGCTAAAGGGTTACAAGCTGATACCAATTTGCTTCTTTGTCAAATTACTACAAAAAAGGCTTTTTGAATTCTGAAGTTCTTTGATCCTTCTTAGAGTTTGAGGTTCTGTTTTTATTTCTGTTTAGTACAGAAATAAAAAGCCAGTGACATGAATGTTCTTGAGAAGAAAGGATATTTAGGGGTCGCTGGTACACCGTCAAGCTTTTAGAATTTGAATTTTTATTCCCCTGCGAAGGCTACGGAGGAATCAGAGCCCAGCCTGCCTTAAAAAATGCTGACATCTTTCTAAAAGTCTAATTAATTTGGATCAGTATTGTGACTCAATCAGGGCTGATTAAACTTCTCTGAAGGGATTTCATGTGTTCCTGTCCCTCGGGAGGGACAATGTTGACAGGGGAGGTGTGCAGAGCTTTCAGTCAGGACAACACAGTGTCCTATGGAGTAAAGAGTAGAGAATTCCTGAATGACTGGGATCCAGAAAAGCAGGAGTTAGTCTAGAACCCTCTCCCTGGTCATTCTCCATACATTGGCAGTTCATGGAATCCAGGTTGCTAGTTTTTTCCCCATTCCCAACCTCTACAGTATCTTTGCTATCCTTGTTTTGCTGGGGTTCTGAACACTCCTTTATTTATTATTTTTTTAAAAGGATGTGCTTTCTTTAAAAAGGATATCCCAAATCTATGCAGCTGAGAGGGGGCACAGGAGGAAGAGCTAAGGTCCATCTCTGATGCAGAATGAAGGCCTTAGAGAAGATAGGCATGCACACAAATAACAAGACAAAATACAGGTGCCTCACTGCATGCCAGGTAGCCTCGGGATTGCGAGCAGAATTCAGACATTCCACACTTAAATTCTGTTTTGTCAGTATTAGAAGCCCTACTGATCTGGGAGCAGAGGACTACTTTTGGTTTAGAGAATGGTTTCCTTTCCACTGGGGAAAGTGCTTTGGGGCAATGCAGTGAGGAACACTGACTGGATCTGTATCAGATTCATGGTCTTGATTTTGTCCTCCTATCTACTCCTGGATAGTAGGTGTCCTTGATGGAGACTTCGGCTTTTTAGGAAATCAGATTCCTCATCTCTCCAACAAAAGGGCTGGAATAGGACATGTCAGGAGCTGGATTTAGCTCTATGCTGTTTCCCAGGGTGTTTTCTGGAGCAAACACGGAGGCTAGGCCGTAGTCAAATACCTGTGGCAGGTGGTTTGACTCAGTGCTGCCTGTGTGGTTATGTAAGAGTGCTTCTCAGTTGAAATGGCTCCAGCAGCCAGAAGGGGGACCAAAGTACCTGTGTTCTGAGTCTTTCCTTCTTGATAGTCCCTTCTTCTGAGCACTGCATGAGCTCAAATATCAGGCAAAAGAAAGTAACATGACTATGTTTAAAACCTTAGAATTTAAAAACAAATCTGGAAGGCAAACATTTGGAGTAATTTCATTTCCAGTTGTATTTGCTTACAAATGTAGAACAAAGAGGGAAAACACCCACTGAGGCCTGAGAGGTAATCACTTGTAAGTGCTTTTTCTTTTTAACTAACAAATGAAACTAAAATAGAAATTGTTGATGGCTTCATTGACTAGAAGGATTTCTAATGTGTGCTAATTTGGAATCTTTTTCCTGTTCATCCAGTTACAATTAGACTTGCTATCTGAGTGTGTGTGTAGTCTGCTCTGAAAGTGCGCACGTGCGTGTGTGTGTGTGTGTGTGTGTGTGTGTGTGTGTGTATGTGTGTGTGTGTCCAGAAGACTTTCTGTTCCTCATGCCCAACAGAAGGAAGGCTCCTAGTTTGTGGGAGATCTATTCTGACAGGCCGCTGGAGGACAGGAAAGATGTGAATCTATCTTTGCTTTTCTTTTTCATGAAGTTTGAGTGTGTGTTTATTTGTCCTGGTTTAAGAGGGACATTCAGTCCTGAACTCTGAATATCTCTCTCTCTCTGCCTTTCCTTCCCTTCTTTCTTTCCTCTTTCTCTCCCCTCCCTCCTTCCTTCCCTCCCTCTCTCCCTCCCTCCCTCCGTCCCTCCCTCCCTCCTTCCCTCCCTCGGTTTTTTCTTTCCTCCCTCTCTTCTCCGTCTTGCTCCTGCAACCCTCCTTCCTTTGCATTTTTTTGGTATAAAAGTTGAATTCCTTCCAATTTTAAGCTACATGTAGGCTACATGTT